CTATATGTAATCCTATAAATTCTAATCTTTTTTATGTCATCTTATCACTTTTTGTTGTTATTGAACTACTCTTGAATTCATCCCCAGTCTCTCCATTCCCACTGCCGCTATACTGGTCCACATGAGCATCACCCTACATCAACAATCTCTTGAAGGCTCTCTTCTTCTAGCCTTTTCCTCCCTCCAATCCATCCCACACACTACTGCCAAATTAATCTTTGTTAAGCATCATTTTCATTGTATCATTTCTCCTGCTCAAAAAGCAGTTTGTTCTATAATACCTGCTAAGTCAAGTTTAGAGTCTCTATAATCTTCCCACATTCTTCCTCTACAGCAGTCAAGTAGAATTCTTCACTGTCCTTTATACAAGTTTATATATACATATTTTTTTTCTCATTTTGTCTTTCCTCATGCTTTTCCCCATATGCACTCTTTCTACCTATAAGAATAGGGACTGGGCCTGTGATTTCATTAATATAAAGAACTCCCAGATAAGAAAATGCTCTACTCCAATTTAGGTCAGCCTCTGCAATAACTTGAGGTCTTAGAGAGTTACCTAGAGCTTGAAAAGGTCATGACATGCCCAGCGTCATGTAAACAGTATTTGTCAGAGGTTGGACTTAAACCTAAGTCTTCCTGACTTAGAAGCTAGTTCCCTAGCTATAATATACCATGCTGCCTCTTACCTTGATACAAATATTCACCTAATGTGGCCTTTGTTGCAAACATATGTGGGCACATCCCTTTGAATGCTGATGATACCTTAGAAATGGAGATTAAAATGTGATTGTTTGGCTTAAAATATTTTAAGATAATAACACTACTTGGCTTAATGTTTTGTCTTCTGTATTAATTCCAAGAAGTATAAAAAGGTAAAATTGCATCTTATTTTCAAGTAATAGAAAAATATTTAAAGGATTATTAGAAGCAAAAAAAAAATTGCCTAAATGTCTGGATTTTAGAGAGAAATTAAAAAACTGAAACAAAAATATGTTTAACCATTTCAAGATTCTCTGATAAATCTGGATGCTCATTTAACCAGAAGACAGGTGTCTTAAGATAATAACGGTACCTGGCTTAACGTTTTATCTTCTGACTGCATTAATACCAAGTAATATAAAAAGGTAAAATTGCACCTTATTTTCAAATAATGGAAACATATTTAAAGAGTTATTAGAAGCAAAAAAAAAATTGCCCAAAGGTATGGATTTTAGAGAGAAATTTAAAACTGAGCCAAAAATATATTTAACAATTTTAAGATTGCCTGATAAATCTAGATGCTCATTTAACCAGAAGATGACTGTTTTAAGATAATAACATTACCTGACTTGATATAGGAAGCTTCATTTAAGGAATTTCTTCTACCAATGCAGATCAACAGTCCACAGAGAGCCCTCTGTTCCTATTCTTTTTTAAAAAAATTTATTTATTTTTAGTTTTCATCGTTCACTTCCACAAGACTTTGAGTTCCAAATTTTCTCCCATCTCATCCCCTCCCCCACCCCAAGATGGCATGCATTCTGAATACCCCTCCCCCTAATCTGCCCTCCCTTCTATCTGTCCCTCCCTACTCTTATCCCTTTCCCCTTCTATTTTCTGAAAGGCAGGATAGATTTCTGTACCCCATTTCCTGTATTTCTTATTTCCCAGTTGCATGTGAAAACAATTTTTTTTTAACATGTGTTTTTAAAACTTTGGGTTCCAAATTTTCTCCCTTCCTCCCTCCCCACCCACCCTCATTGAAAAGGCAAGCAACTCGATACAGGTTATACATGTGTAGTTATGCAAAACACTTCCATAGTAGTCATATTGTGGAAAAACTAACTATATTTCCCTTAATCCTATCCTGCTCCCCATTTATTCTGTTCTCTCTGTTGACCCTGTCCCTCCTCAGAAGTGTTTGCTTCTGATTACCCCCTCCCCCAATCTGCCCTCCCCTCTATCATCCCCCTGCTCTCTTATTCCCTACCCCCCTATTTTACTGTAGGGTAAAACAGATTTCCATACCCAATTGAGTGTGTATGTTATTCCCTCCTTAAGCCAAATCCTATGAGAATAAGATTCACTCATTCTCTCTCACCTTCCCCCATTTCCCCTCCACTGTAAGAGCCTTTTCTTGTCTGTTTTATGTGAGATAATTTACACCATTCTACCTCTCCCTTTCTTCTTCTCCCAGTATAATCCTCTCTCACCCCTTAATTTTATTCTCCAGATGTCACCCCTTCATCTTCAACTCACCCTGTGCCCTCTATCTATCCATATATACACATATATACATACATATATACATATAATTTTTCCCTCCAACTACCGTAATACTGACAAAGAACTCATGAGTTACAAATATCATCTTTCCATGCAGGAATATAAACAGTTCAACCTTAATAAGTCTCTTATGGTTTCTCTTTTCCTGTTTATCTCTTCATGTTCCACTTGAGTCTTATATTTGAAAGTCAAATTTTCTATTTAGCTCTGGTCTTTTCATCAAGAATGCTTGAAAGTCCTCTATTTCACTGAATGACCATTTTTTCCCCTGAAGAATTATACTCAGTTTTGCTGGGTAGGTGATTCTTGGTTGTAATCCTATCTCCTTTGCCCTCTGGAATATCATATTCCATGCCCTGCGGTCCCTTAATGTAGAAGCAGCTAAATCTGGTGTTATCGTGATTCTGTTTCCACAGTACTTAAATTGTTTCTTTCTGGCTGCTTGCAGTATTTTCTCCTTGACCTGGGAACTCTGGAATTTGGCTATAATATTCCTAGGAGTTTTCCTTTGGGGATCTCTTTCAGGAGGTGATCGGTGGATTCTTTCCATTTCTATTTTGCCCTCTGGTTCTAAAATATCAGGGCAGTTTTCCTTGATAATTTCTTGAAAGATGATGTCTAGGTTATTTTTAAATTCTCTCTGCTGGATCTATTTTCCAGGTCAGTTATTTTTCCAATGAGATATTTCAAATTGTTTTCTAATTTTTCATTCTTTTGGATTTGTTTTACAGTGCCTTGATTTCTCAAATTGTCACTAGCTTCCAATTGCTCTATTCTAATTTTTAAGGAAGTATTTTCTTCAGTAAGCTTTTGGGCTTACTTTTCCATTTGGCCAATTTTGCTCTTTAGGGTATTCTTCTCCTCATTGACTTTTTGGACCTCTTTTGCCATTTGGGTTAGGCTATTTTTTAAGGTGTTATTTTCTCCAGTATTTTTTGGGTCTTCTTTAGCAAGCTGTTGACTTGTTTTTCATGATTTTCTTGCATCACTCTCATTTCTCTTCCCAGTTTTTCCTCTACTTCTCTTACTTGTTCTCAAAATCCTTTTTGAGCTCTTCCATGGCCTGGGACTCATTCATATTTTTCTTGGAGGCTTTGGATGCAGGAGTTTTAACTTTGTTGTCTTCTTCTGGTTGTACGTTTTGATCTTCTTTGTTACCAAAAAAAGATGCTATAGTCTGACTTTTTCTGCGCCTTTATTTGCTCTTGATCTCAGCCAAATACTTGAGTTTTAAACTCTTTGTTAGGGGTCTGCTTCCAGGGTGGAGAACGTACTGTCCCAAGCTTTGGGGGTTTTGTGCAGCTCTTTTCAGAGATACTTCTAGGGACCTATAAATTTTCAGTTCTTCCAGGTTGGTATGATAAGGGGTGAGGTGTTCACTCCTTTCCTGGTCTGTGCCCTGGTCAGTGAGTGACCACAAGCACTCTTTTCTGCCTTGGAACTGTGAGGAGAATTTCCTCTCCACAGCCACTATAAGCTCCACCAACACCAGCATTCCTCCTCGCCCCAGGACCACCACCCAGAACTGTGACCCAGATCCAAGCACGGGTAAAACAAGAGAACCTTGCACCAGCAGAGAGATCCCTGCAATCCTTCTCTGATCAGCCACCCGATTTCCCCTCAATCTGTAGGCTGGAAGCTCCAGAAGCAGCTGCCACCCAGGGGGTCACACTTGGGGAGTGGGGCTGGGACTGACATTCTGTCTCTCACCACAATCACAGACTTTTCCCACTGACCTTCTAAGTTGTCTTTGGAGTTCATGGGTTGAGAGGTCTGGAAACTAACACAGCTGCCTGTGATTTTGCCTGTGCGCCCACACTGAACTGCACTCCTCTCCCCGCCCGGCTCAATATACCTTTCTGATCAATCATCCAGGTTGTCTTGGGCTGGAAATTTGTTTCACTCTGTTATTTTGTGAGTTCTGCTGCTTTAGAATTTGTTCAGAGCCATTTTTTACAGGTATTTGGAGGGGTTTGGGGGAGAGCTCAAGTGAGTCTTTGCTTTTATTCTGCCATCTTCCCCTGTTCTTATTCTTAAAGACCGGCCTAGAGCACTGGGAGATTAAGGGACTTGACTAGGGTTATGCAGTCAGTATGTGTCAAAGACAGGACTTAAATCCATCTTCATGGCTCCCAGGTCAGTTCTCTGTCCAGAAAAACATGCTGTCTCTGAACCCAATTTAAGCTTTTCTTGATGACTCAGGCCTATCTATATCCATCCTTTCCTTGCCTTAATCCACTTTCATTTCTGCATCCACTATAAAAGTTGAGGACCTCATTACCTATGATCCATATTCTTTCTCTCCACTTCAATGCATCCTACATACTACAGCATAAGTTCTGTCAGGCCATGAAAAGACACTGAGTACAGATCTAGTGATGAACTGTGTATCCTCCAAGGACCATCCTTACTAAGTTTGGAGAAGCAGTTTTGGGGATGTGTTCCAGATGATTGAGACTGCAGAATGCGACCTCTGAGTAAGTCAGGTGTCCTGGCACCATCCTTAGACAATAAAAGAGTTTTGTGGTTGCTGTGGATACTTATTACCTATTATCACGTGCTTTCTTCCCATGGCCATCTCTAGACATTGCATAATTTCAGGAGGAGCAGGGCTATGAAAAACAAACAATCTCCTTCCCCAGGCTCTTTGATTTTTCATGTTCTTAGGCATATACTGTAAGTATAGAAAGGTAGCAACTCAAAAACATGATATCTAACCTTTTTTTTTTTAACAGGAAGGGAAATTAAACTTTACAAGACAACTAATGGACAATCCTCCCCACAGGTAAGCTGTTTCATTTCCCTTTTGTGTGGTTTGAAAGAGAAGACCCACTTTTCAATTTACCACTAAATATATTATGTTATGTTATGTTAATCATATTATATAGCATTCAATCTGAAAGGAACCTTTGAGATCATTTAATCCAACCTGTTCATTCTATAGGTGTGACAATTGAGGTCACAGGGAGACCGGGTTAGCCTCAAAACACAGTTGGTTAGGGGCAGCTAGGTGGCACAGTGGATAGAGCTCTGGTCCTGAAGTCAGCAGGACCTGAGTTCAAATCCGCCCTCAGACCATACACTTGACACTTACTAGCTGTGTGACCCTGGGCAAGTCACTTAACTCCAATTGCCAACAACAACAACAACAAAAGAAAAAAAAGTTAGTTGCAGATAATATAGCTGAGATTATAGGATTATAGATTTAGACCTGAAAGGGACATTAGAGATCATCTAGTCCCACCTTATTTTGCAAAAATGGCCTCTGGTGCTCAAAGAACTTAAGTGATGCACCCCAAATCACAGCCGTAAGAGGCAGAGGCAGGCTTTGAATTCAGGTGCTCTGACTCCAAATCCAGTTCTTTGGAGAGAGATGCTGTGTTCATTCCTCTGTGCATGTGCAGAATTTATTACCTTCAATGTAACTCTGATTACATGACACAAGACAGTCCTAAAAATCTATTTCTCCTTTTTTATTTGGGTTTTAGTTGTTGTTGAGTGTTTCAGTCTCGTCCACCTCTTCGTGACCACATTTGGGTTCTCCGCAAACGCACTAGAGTGGTTTGCCATTTCCTTTTCTAGCTCATTTGACAGATGAAGAAACTGAGGCAAACAGGGTTGAGACATTTGCCTAGGGTCACACAGCTGGTAAGTGTCTGAGGCCAGATTTGAACTCAGGTCTTCCTAACACCAGGCCTAGTGCTCTATCCACTGTACCATCTAACTGCCCCTTGGGTTTTAGTGTAACCATATTATTCTCCTGTAGTTGCTGTGATTCTGTCAAAACCTTCTCAAACAGATGTGACAAAACATATCCCAGCCAAAGTTTCTTCACCACTTGAGTATTTCTTCCTTGGCAATGCCCAGGGGATTAGGAGCTTTTCTTTGCATGACTGCATGATCACATTGCATTTTTCTTGGGCCATCCATTCTACATAGTTTCAATCGATTTATAAGTCCCTTGAGGACAGAGATTGAGTTCTCAGAGGCAGGATCCCTGAGGCATTTGGCAGCATTGCCCCATTTAGAATGAGTGCCCAGACCCTGGGCACTCCCCCTCTTGTTTCCTAGTTATTTGCATTTCTACATTGCCTGTAACTATTTCTGAAGTCACAAGTACAGAATTGCTATATACAATCCTACGTGTTTCGTACTTCTTTGCACCCGCCCCAGTATCTAACACAGTGCCTTACACATGGTAGGAATTCAATAAATATTTCTGGATGATGCTGAAACATACTCAGTCAGCCATTTAAAGTGGAGGAAGTCATGGGTTATAAACGATACAAGTCACCTAATTCAACAACATATTAAGTGTCTACTGTTCAAGTAAGCTATAATTCAACAAGTCAAGTCAGCTAGCATTTACTATTTGCCAGGCATTGTGCTAATCACTGGGGTTACAAAAAAAAAAGCAAAAAATAGTCCCTGCTGTCAAGGAGCTTACAATGTAGTGGGAGAGACACAATGCAAACAACTATGTACGTGCAAGATGTGTACAGGATGAATTCCAGGTAGACTCAAAGGGAAAGGAATTAAAATTAAAGAGGACTGGGAAAGGTTTCTTGCAGAAAGTAAGACTTTACTTGAGACTTGAAGGAAGCTAAAAGGCAGAGATGAAGAGGAAGAGAGTTCCAGGGACGGAGGGCAGGCAGTGAAAATGCTTGATGTTGGTAGACAAGAGTGCCACATGTGAAGAGCAGCAAGGAGGTCAGTCTCGTTTACTAAATGATAACTAGATTCAAAGCACTGTGCTAGGCATTGTGGTTACAAGGACCAAAAAAAAAATGCTCTTTCCTTCAAGGAGATTATGTTTTACTCTCTGCAAAGCTTTGAGCTAGGTACTTATAATTTACTATTATATACTTCTACAACAGTTTCCAGTATCACTTCCCAGTTCACCTTTCTAAATTAGAGTGTGAGCTCAATGCAAGAGAAGAGAAGAGGAGAGGAAGTCTTCTCTTTCTAGGCCCAAAGCCCACCTTTTTATTCCAGATTTCTCTTCAAAGCTGCTCTGAAGTGGTAGTTTCCCATCGTTCTGCCCACAGTCTAGCCCTGAATCAAGCTCTCCCTCTTCTGGGCTTATAGCTTCTGGGTCAGCTTCCTTGAACTGCCCCTACTCTAAAAAATCTTGGTCAGCACACAGAATCATAGCTTGAGAACTGGAAGGTTTTGTTTTTTTTTTTCCCTAGAAGTCATCTAATGTACTCTGCTCATTTTCTAGAGGCAGGGATTTGAGGCCCCAGGAGATTAAGTGATGATCCTGGATAACTGTTCTGTTCTTAAAGATAAACAGGAAGGTGGATTCTAACGTCTGGCCAGTTCCCTACTGGATTAGATAGTGGGATGGTTGGTCAGTTGGTCATTCAATACAATAAGTATTTATTAAACACTTTCTATGTACCAGACACTCTGCTAAACTCTTTGAATAGAAAGAAAGGCAATAACAGAGTCCCTGCCCTCAAAATGCTCACATTCTAATGGAGGAGATAATATGGAAATAACTATGTGCATACAAAATGTAAGTAGTTGATGGAGGATAATCTCCAAAGGTAAAGCTGTCTTTATTTAAAACCCTAGGGATATCCACTAACATCCCATTTTTTCCTTTGTGGGATTTAGTCACAATGGCTACTTACAACCCCCTTATCTATATCATCTAATTATTATTTTCCTTATATTCTTTATAGACTGTAAGCCCCTCGGGGTAAATTATTTTAATTCTCTTGCACAAAAATCCATGGCATATTTTGAAAACTATTGACATTCAGCTCCCTGAAAGGTTTCCTGATGTCATTTATGGCTTTTAAATTTTTTTTATCTTTGAATGAATGAATTAAAAAGTTTATTAAGAGTTTACTGTGTACAAAACACTGGGCTAAATTCTGGGGATACAAATAGACAAGTAAGACAGCCCCTATTCTCAAGGACTTTCACTTTCTAATGGGAGAGACAATACATATAGAAGGTTTCTGTTGCGGGTGAGATTGCAAAAGGTCTTATGGTCCTTAGGGTGCAGCAGCAGCAGCAAATGGTCATGCCTGTTCTTTAATGTCATTTTTACTGGTAAAATCATGTCATTTTGTGGTGCTTTAATCATTGATTGGACTTGGATGGCAAGAATTTTCTTTCCTGGATTTTTAGTAGCTGTGTGTGGGGGAGTAGGGTAAGGGGATGGGAAGATGAGAAGTGGTCTGCGAGGTGCTGTCATTCCTGTGGCTGTTGAGTTTACCTGCTAATCAGGAGCAGTCGGGCAGCAGTTGGTTGTGGTCATAGTGGGGAAGGTAGGCCCTTTCTCCAAAATGATGGCTTTTCTCAGTGAAGCCAGGATTGGAAGCAGGGCCAAGGGTTTAGAGGGCACTGTTTTTCTCGGTCTTGGATTCAAGCTATTGGAGTATCTCCAAATCAGAGAGGAGTGGGTGGTCGAGATGGTGGTGGTCTTTTGACTTTCAGGGCACATGCCACCTCCTTTCTCTCCTGTAGGGTGCTTCACTGCTTTAGCTAGGCTGGCTTGCCTGCCCTGTAGGTGGCAATTGGGCTGTTGTTGATGGGGACGGCTGACCCCTTCTACACAAGAGTTGCTTCCTTGATAATGACTGAGTAAATGAAGCAGAAGTGGCCTGAGGGTCCTTGCCACCCTCCTCTACCCATTTCCTTTGTCTTATCTGCCAATCAGTGGCAGTTGGTGGAGAAGGGCAAATTAACCCCTTCTCCATATATGATTGCTCCTTCTCAGTCTTCTTTGCTGGATCTTTATCCAAGTCATACCCAATAAAGATGGGTCTTCCTCAGGGTCTGTCCTGAGCCCCCTCTGCTTCTCCTTCTAGATTATTTAACTTGTTTATTTCATCATCTCCCAAGTAGGAGAACCTAGACAAAATAGTGTCATGGAAACAGAGAGAGAAAAAATTACCAAGGGGCAGAGGAGTATCAAAAACTACAGATAGGTCAAGAAAGATGAGGATTTTTAAAAGGCCATTAGATTTGGCATTTAAAAGATCCTTGGTAACTTTGGAGAGGGTAGTTTTGACTGAATGGTGCCACTCTCAAGGCTCTTGAGATCAGGCTCCTGGACTGACTCCATCAGCATCTGAAGGGAAATGAGAATCGAGGTGGTGGTGGTGGTGGTTTGGCTTGACTGGCTCATGCTACTTCTGTCTCTCCCTCAGGATGCCTTGCTGCTTCAGCAGAAGACAAAATGAACAAGGCTAATAGCCTCAAATTTCACCTTATGAAAGAAAGGAGGGAGCAATCTGCCATCTCCTTCCCCGCTACACTCACCCCCATCCAGGCCTTTTTACATCCAAATAAGACTAAGTGACCTAGGCTGTACCTTTGGAAAGATATGAAGCAGCAATAATAAAGAAAATGGTGGCCAGTGGGAGTCTTATCATGGCCTGGCAGTAATTCCTCCTGAGCCATTCACCAGGAATAGAAAAGGGAAAAGGCAAAGCTGGGCATAATCAGGGCTGCTCTGCTGAAGGTGAAGAAATTTAGAGTGCTCTGAAAGGTGGAAATGATTGAACTTAGCACCTATGTAACACAAAAAAATAAGTTAAAATAGGAAGTTACTAGATGGGCCTCCTGCTCGCAGGTGCTACACCCTGATGAGCTCCTTCCTAACCCAGCCACACCCTGCCCCCCACTCTGTTGTCCCCCAGCTCCACCCCCCCCCAGCAGGGTCTGTGTCTCTCTCCAACCAGCAGTGCACTGATGGGTCTCCCCATAGAAGGCCATCTATCTCAAGATCATCCGTCCCTAAAACAAATTCTTCCCTTAAGAGCC